GCAAGGTTAGTCTTTATAATTATGACACAAAACTAGAATCATGGAAAAGACTACTAAGTTTCACTACATTAAAATTATTTTCATGCCAAAAACCATTAGGAGCAATGCCATTTGGCAAAAAACAAACTAGAAAAAAAAAACAAAACTCTTATCACTAACTTTCCCAAAATATTCAGTATCCCTACAAAATGAAAAAAGCAAACAAACAAACAAAAACCTTGACAGAATATGGACAATTCAACAGAAAACGAAATATAAACATTAAATATAAAGATGCTCAACCCTATTCATAAATGCCAGTTAAAACCACAGTGAGATATCATTTTTCACCTATTAATGTTCCAAATGTCAAAACCTTTGATAATAGACTGTGTTGTGAGTGTGTGAGGAAACAGGCATGCTTTTTATTACTAGTGCAACCTTGGAGGAGGGCGATTAGAAATCCAAATTTCAAATGCATTTACCTTTCATCTAGCAATGTCACTTCTAGGAATTTTCCCTTTGTATATACTCACACATTTGAGAAATGACTTACGTAAAAGGATATTCATTTCGGTAATGCTTGTAATAGCAAGATTTGAAACAACCTAAATATTCATCAATAGAGGGCTGTCTAAATAACGGCCAACTAAAGGAACTCCATGATGCCTAAAAGAGAATGATGAAGCTTACATATTTTAACATTAATTCATCTCCAGGGTATATCGTTATGTGAAGAAATACACCAAATTCAGGGGCTGGGTGTAGTGGCTGGCGCCTGTAATCCCAGAGTGGGAATCTGGGCGGGAGGCCAAGGTGAATGGATCACTTGAGCCCAGGAGTTCCAGAACAGCCTGGGTAAGATGGCAAAACCCTGTCTCTACAAAAAGTACAAAAAATTAGCTGGGTGTTGTAGCACGCACCCGTAGTCCCAGCTACTTGGTAGGCTGAGGTGGGAGGATTGCTTTAGCACGGGAGGTGGAGGTTGCAGTGAGCTGAGATCACACCACTGCACTCCAGCGTAGGTAACAGATTGAGACCCTGTCTCAAAACAAAAATGAAAACAAACAAAACTTTATGGTACTGGTTCCTTGTGATAAGAACTGAGGAGCTGGGAGAAAGAATGGGAAGGAGAATTCACCATTTACTCTTTTGTGAATGGTCCAAATATTGAACCATGTGAATGTATTTCCTATACAAAAATTTAACTTAAAAAAAGGAGTCCCATTACTGATCACATTTTATTGAAACATGGAACTCTCCATTTCCAGCAAGATTAATAATGAGTTGAGAAGTAATAAAATGGCTCCATATACTTCTGTTAAGTCTATGGAATGAATAACCAAAAGTTGAATTGTTTTCATAATTTGAAGAATGTTCTAGGACTCAAAGAAAAATATACAGAATCTTCTATAATTAAATTACTCAGAACAAGAAAAATATCAAAAAGCTTAGGACATAAAACTTAAATAATTTCAAATGACAAGTTTCATCTGACTCAAAACACTTTGAAAAACATGTATGAAAATAACATCACAAGAATCAAACTTTTGATAAAGGCAAATTAAAGCAATATAATAATCTAAAAAATAAAACCAAAGCCTGACTTTTTAAAAAAACATTTGGCCACATACATGAGTGCAACTAGTAGCCCTAGAAAAGAATACTGACTGTTTCATGCAATGAAATTCCTGACCTTGGTCTTTAACTCCCGGGGATTTTAGTTCTAAAGTGCCTCAAATCCATATTTTTTTCTGCCAGTGTTCCAGTTAAAGCTCTTTCTTCTAGGCTATTTCAGTAAGCTGACTGTCACCATGACTTCATCCCCTCATATCCTTCCCATTGCCGCTGGAATTTATGGCATAAATCTAATGGTCTCACTACCTTGCAAAATGCTTTCATTAGTTACCCACTGCCTAAACAGTAAAGTTCAAATGTTTTTGTGTGACTGTCTTCTTTTTTTGCTCCCCTTCCCCCAAAATACCTTCTCTCCTAAATGTGGAAATTGCTTATTTTATCTTTTTTGGCTATTGGTCTTGGGTGGACACATGGCTCTTGCCAGGCCAATTAACAGTCTATGCTGGAGATTTCAACTTTGGGACTGAGAGTTCATCTCTCTTTGGATGCCTGCAGCATCCAAAAGTTCAGAAGTACTCAGTGGCTATGTTTTCTGCTAATTAAACCTAAAAAATGGAAAAGTCTAGTTATAAAAGAAAGAGAAAATGAAGATGTGCAGAGAAGCTGGACCCAGAGTTAGGAAATTGTGTGCTCAATCCCAGCTCTTGAGTCCAGTCACATCCTCGTCTTCAAGTCCAGCAAGAGAAGTCAGACTCCTTACATTAAAATCCCCATTACAGGTTGGTTCAGACTGAGTTTCAGGTACTGCACCTAAGTCAGTCCTAATCCCACTGCATATGGCAACTTGGCAGTTTAACCACAATCTACCTTGCTAGCTTCACTTCCGTGTTCTGACCACACCTCCATTCTATCACATACTCACACTGACCTAGCAGTCATTCCCCCCAAATTCAACTCCACTCTTGAGCCCTGCAGTGCATTCACCTGGGATGACTTTCTTCCTTCTCCTTTACATGGAGAATGCCTCACATTTACCCTGAGATGCTGCAAAAATGCTTCCACTCATTGCGAAGCTTTTTGATTATCTACTGCTCCCATATCCAAGTCAAAAGACCACTCCATTCTCTGTGGCTCATTGTCCTTTGTAGATACTTCTTTGATTACACTGATCACATTATATTGTAGAATTCCTATTTGTTCATATACTGTTTTTTAAGTTCTTCAAGGACAGTGTCTATGTAGCTCCACTAACACAAATAGAGAACACATGACCCATACTTGATAAATCAGGTTATTCCAACAAACCAAATGCATTTGCCCTTGCCACACGGGCTGTAGCAAATGTGCTCCCAAAAGTTGACCAACTTCTTAATATCTGATTAAGAAAGCAGTCTTTCATGAATAATGTCAATTTTGTGTTTGAACACAACAAGGGTAACTTATACGTAAAATAAACTGACCATGGGAAGCAGAATCAACATCAGAGGCCCCCATATCCCTAATCCTATGGGGTCTAAATCAGTAACTACAATCTTATACCTGAGATGTAGTTCATTCTCTTTTCTCATACTTTTTATAGTTATTCATTCTGTTAAATGCTTTTACGTCTAAACACACATCAATCCCTCTTGCATCATTTGCTTTTTGCACCAAAGTATTCTAAAACAAGTTGGATTACTAAACCACACAAATGCAAAAGCTATGTTATCAGCTAATTTTAATACTCTGTTGAGTTTTTTTCCTGAAGTTCTTGTATACATTTAACCTCAAATGTACAAGAGAAAATAAATTTCCAATGGGTTGGGGGCTTTTTGTTGTTTTTAAGTGTATCAGATATATAACATTATCTGGAAACCAGGAGGAAAAAAAGATTGTTTTATTTTATACTCTACCCAGTAACCAAACAAAGGAAATAAAACACAATTTCTTTGTGGCTAAGCTGGTTTATTGAACTTCATGGGGGAAATGTAACAGTGACACTATTCCACAACAAAATTATTTAACTTTAGATTTCATGAGGAAACATGTATTTGCAATATACTTTCAATAATGCATTGTTATTAATAGCTAACTACATTAGATTCTGGGGTAGTTTCCTTTAGTGTTCTCAAATTGAGACTTTTCCAAAACATGTCTGATATTTTAATTATTTTCAATTAAAGGTCATAGTTAAAATAAATTCTGCAGATTTTTAAAATGTGTGATTTGTTCCTTAAAAACTAATAATTAGTTGTTAGACAGCTATCATTTTGGAAGTGATTTGCAACAGTCAATGAACTGTTTTACAAATATTTTAAGATACTGAAAGCTTTATCCCCATTCAACTGGTAGGTTCTTTTTAAAAATAAAAACACACATGTAAAAAAATTAAAACAAATTGTTACAAATGAGATACAAATATTTTAAAACTAATAAATATTAAAGTTAAAAAATAAGTCCTTTCACAGAACTGTGAAGGATACTACTAATTCCTTACAAAAAGAAATAAAGTTACTCTTTTTAAAACCATAATAACAGTAATAAAAAACCATAAATGTGCTTGGAAAGTCTATAAACTTTCTTCCCCAACTTTAGAAAATATTTTGAAAAGCAATAAACAGATTCCCTTCTTAAAAAAAAAAGTTGTTACATCATCACAGTTACTACAGCTGTCACTGTTTTATTACAAAAATAGTTATAAATCAAGGTTAATTTTGACACAAGTAAAACAATTTTTAATTTTTAATTCCAGCATGATTAAGAAAAATGATCTCCCTAAATGCAAATAAAGCCAATTTGAGTTCTAATACTTAAAATGGAATAATCACTTCCTATAATTATTATTTTCAGTTACTTCATTTAATAGAATTATCTTGTCTTTATATTTAAATTATCCAGTTAGGACCACCATGATGATTAAACAAAAATCTTCAACTAGATTAGATTACATTTTTAATTGATTTCCCACATTCTGAAAATATTTTAAGTACAATAATCTTTTGGCTTAATTTCCTCCAAAATTATTAAGGACAGCAATCTATCAAAATTAGTGAATGTGAACACTTCGGTTAAAAGTCATGGCTTACATTCCATTTACGTAAATAGTTTAATATGTAAGCTTGCTATATTTTATGTGCAAAGACTTAAATTCAAAATAAAAGTATTTAGGTTAAAAAACTTTTTGAGGCCGGGCGCGGTGGCTCAAGCCTGTAATCCCAGCACTTTGGGAGGCCGAGACGGGCGGATCACGAGGTCAGGAGATCGAGACCATCCTGGCGAACACGGTGAAACCCCGTCTCTACTAAAAATACAAAAAACTAGCCGGGCGAGGTGGCGGGCGCCTGTAGTCCCAGCTACTCCGGAGGCTGAGGCAGGAGAATGGCGTAAACCCGGGAGGCGGAGCTTGCAGTGAGCTGAGATCCGGCCACTGCACTCCAGCCTGGGCGACAGAGCCAGACTCCGTCTCAAAAAAAAAAAAAAAAAAAAAAAAAAAACTTTTTGAAATATTATTTCCATCACTGAAGGACATTTTTCAGTATCTAATTTATTTTTCATACTGAGGAGGAACAGCTTCTTGTGACCATAAAATTTAGATATCTTAAAAATTGATACAACACAATACTATTACAGAAATACATGTAGACTAATAGCAATTAGAGTTGTGCCTTCACAGCTACAATCCAAATGCAAGTTCATTTGTTAACTTGGCAGTTGTAATTAAATTTATTGAGTTGAAGGGAAAGCAAGAAATACCATACCAGATACACTGCTTGAAATTACTAAAGGCCAAGTAAGAATAGGTCTCCTGTGTTAGCTAGAAGCTATGTTTACCTATTTTCCCCCAAGTTACAACTCTTCATATGCTTTCAGTTAGTTTTACACTGTTTAAATATACCAAAATAAAATATAAAGCACCTGTGTCACTTTATTTGCCTTAAAATCTCACTTATTTTTGCATATTTTAATAGGATTTAGTAAGAAAGCAATTCGGCCAGGTGTGGTGGCTCACACCTGTAATCCCAGCACTTTGGGAAGCTGAGGTGGGTGGATCATGAGGTCAACAGATTGAGAACATTCTGATCAACATGGTGAAACCCTGTCTATACTAAAAATACAAAATTTAGCTGGGCGTAGTAGCACATGCCTGTAGTCCCAGCTACCCGGGAGGCTGAGGCAGGAGAATCACTTCCTGGGAGGTGGAGGTTGCAGTGAGCCGAGATCGCGCCACTGCACTCCAGCCTGGAGACAGAGCAAGATTCCATCTCAAAAAAAAAATAATAATGATAATAATAATAATTAAAAAAAAAGAAAGCAACTCAAATAACTCTTTTAAAAATAACAATGATTTTTGTAGATCTGATAAATATTAATTACAAAATCAAACATCTAGAACTCTTGGAAAAGTCATTCTTTATGGACTGGGAACCAGGAAACATTCTGTGCCTTCTTATCCCACTGGAACTAAAGTGTTAGCTCTAAAACATACCAATAATAACAAAACTAAATATGTTAGTAAAACAAAGAAAGGCCAGATGCAGCGGTGAGTACCTACAGTCCCAGTTACTGCGGAGGTTGAGGTGGGAGGATTGCTTGAGCCCAGGAGCTTAAGGCCAGCCTGGGAAACATAGCAAGACCCTGTCTCTACCAAAAAACAAAAAAAGTACTCTGGGGAGAGGCAAATACCAGTTTTTACCCTATTAAGAACACTTCCCATTTAAAGGACATACTATTAGGTGTGTGCTAAACCTTTAATATTTTATTCCAATTCCAGGAACACAACATGGAACGGTTACTGATTCTTTACATTCCATCATGTTCTCATTTGAAGCTTCCTTCACTGGGCTCTAGATGGAGAGATGTTCAGATTCATCCTATCTTTGCTTCATTTTCAATCTCACCTGAAAACCAACTTTTCCTGTGTTGTCACAGTGACAAACTTAAGTAGATACAAAATACAAAAGCGTGACAATGACAAACAGCGAAGTGTCAAGATGACCCATTACAGTTGAGAATAAATCTTATGACTTATTACTGTCATACTTGAAAAGTATTTCTTTAGCCAAAATTAGATAATATAATAAAGACTGTTATTTAGCACCAGCACGTCGTTGCAGGCTTTGGTTCAGGCTTCAGGATAATTTCATTATCAGGGGGTTGACTAAGCATTAATGGTTTGTGGCTCTTAAGCTTATGAGCCAAGGTCATAAATATAGCTTCCACGTGGTCATTATCATTGGGGTTTTTAGCAGACGTTTCAAACAAAGGCATACTGTGTGTGTCAGCAAATTTTTGTGCCAAGTCTGTGGGTACCTGAATGGCACTTCTCAAATCACATTTATTTCCAACAAGAATCCGTGGTATATCATTGGCTAGCAAATGTTGCTTGCATTCTTCTATCCAAGATGGTAAGCTATGAAAACTAGCCATGTTGGTCATATCATACACGAAGACAACAGCATGTACATTTCTGTAGTAGTGCTGAACCATGCTCTTTCTGAATCGTTCTTGTCCTGCTGTGTCCCATAGCTGGATCTAAAAATGGGAAGAAAAAGAAGAAAGCTGAAAATCTCATTCAAATTATACATATTAAGAAATGTAATCATCTTGCACTGTCTTTATTATCTCTTCACTTAAAATATTTTGATTTCTCCCTTCCATAATGTCTTTTCAGTGTTCCTTATGGGATCCAGACTTCATGATACCATTTACCTCATAATTAAATTATAATACAAGTGTCAGAACAAATATTTCAAAACAGGATTTTCTAAATTTCTGTAAATCCAATTTGTTTAAATAAAATTATACCTCAAAATTTTATTTTAAAATGTTGAGAAAAATATATCAGGTGTTAACATGTTAAGCATTTAGTTCCTGTAAATTTGGTTACTATATACTCCTCTTTACCTTTCACTAGTCTAATTTAAAATATTAAACCTAGGAAAGATGTTGTTATGAGATCCAGCCTCCAAACAAACATACATGTATGTGTATGTCTATGAAATCCAGGCCCCCTTGAAAATTTAAGAAGGCTAGAAAAAAAGCAAGAATAAAAACACTCAACATACAATTAAAATGCTTAAAACTATAGATATCAAAACTTACTACAAAGCTATACTAATCAAGACTGTGAAACTGGCCTAAGATTAAACACATAAATCAATGGAAGAGAACTGTGGATCCAGAAATGAACCCATGTATCTATAGTCAACTGGTTTTTAACAAGATTACCAAAACAATGCAACAGCAGGAAAGATTAGTCATTTCAATAAATGGTGCTGGACAACATGCAAAAAATGAGGCTGGATCCCTACCTCACACCATATATAAAAATTTAACTCAAAATGGATCAAAGACCTAAATTTAAGAGCTAAAACTTTAACTCTTTGTAACCTTGGATTAGGCAATGGTTTCTTAGATATGATATCTAAAGCACAAGCAACCAAAGAAAAAAATAAACTGGACTTCATCAAAATTAAAAATATTTGTGCAGCCAGGTGTGGTGGCTCAGCACTTTGGGAGTCCAAGGCATCAGGGTCACCAAACCCAGGAGTTTAAGACCAGCCTGAACAAATAAAATTGGAGGGTGGAGCAAGATGGCAGAATAGAAAGCTCCACCTATCATGCCCCCAACTCCCCCACAAGGATACCAAGTTAATAACTATCTACACAGAAAAAAAAAAAAAAAAAAAAAATTCATGAGAACCGAAAATCAGGTGAGCACTCATAGTACCTAGTTTTAACTTCATATTGCTGAAAAAGGAACTGAAGAGATAGAAAAAACAGTCCTGAATTGCCAACACCCACTCCCCGCACCCCCAGCAGCAGCGGTGTGGTACAGAGAGCTTCTCTGGGCACTGGGAAAAAGAGAACACAGCAACTGTGAGGCACTGAACTCAGTTCTGTCCTGTTAGAGCAAAAAGGAAAACCAGACCAAACTCAGCTGATGTCTACCCACAGAGGGAACATTTAACCCAGTTCCAGCCAAAGGGGAACCACCAATCCCAGCAGTCCAAACACGAGTTCCCACAAACCTTGCCCTCTGTGTCTCCAAGTAAACTTGAAAGGCAGTCTAGGCCACAAGCACTGCAATTCTGAGGCAAGTCTTAGTGCTAAACGAGGCCTAGAGACAGTGGACTGAGGCAGGCAGGAGACATACTTAGACTCCAGCTGGGGCAGCCAAGGGAGTGCTGCCATCACCCCTTCCCTAACCCCAGGCTGCACAGCTCACAGCTCCAAAAAAGACCACTTCCTTCCATTTGAGGAGGAGAGGAGAGGAGATGAGAGGACAGGACAGGAGAGGGAAGAGTGGGGACAACACTGTCTTGATCTTAGATACCAGCTCAGCCATAGCAGGATAGGGCACTGGTCAGTTGTGAGGTCCTCATTCCAGGCCTTAGCTCCGAGTTGACATTTCTAACTACATCTTGGGCAGAAGGGAACCTGCTGCCTTGAAGGAAAAAACCCAGTCCTGGCAGCATTCATCACTGCTAAATGAAGAGCCCCTGGGCCTTGAAAAACCAGCAGTCATACCCAGGCACCACATTGACAGCCTTGGGTGAACCTCTGAGACTTGCTGGCTGCAAGTGAGGCTCAGCACGTAATTAGCTGTGGCAGCTATAGGGCAAAACTCCTGCTTGAGAAAAGCAGAGGCAAAAGTAAAGGGGACTTTGTCTTGTACCTTAAGTACCAGCATGGCCACAGGGGGGCCTGTGGGGTCCTAGATTTCAGGACCTGACTCTTGGACAGCATTTTTGGACCTGCCCTGGGCCAGAGGGGACCCCACTACTCTGAAGGGTAAGGCCCAGGCCAGGCAGCATTCATGACAACCTGACTTAAGAGCCCTTGGACCTTAAGGGAACACTGGCGGTAGTCTGGCAGTACTCCTCATGGCCTGGGGTGGCAGTGGCTACAAGTGGGAAGCTCCTCTCTTTGGAAAGGGGAGGGAAGAGTGGGAAGGACTGTGTCATGCAGTTTGAGTGCCAGCTCAGCCACAGTACAACAGAACACCAAGTAGACTTCTAAGATTTTTAACTCTAGTCCCTGACTTCTGGAAGGCACTTCTGGACCAATCCAAGACTTAGGGAAACTTGCCACGCTGAAGAGATGGACACAGGCCTGGCTGGCTTTGCCACCTGCTGATTGTAGAGTCCTAGGGCCTTGAGTGAACACAGGCAGTAGCAAGGGAGTGGTTACAGCAGGCCTTGGGTGAGACACAGTGCTATGCTGGCTTCAGGTCTAGTGCAGTCTAGACCTAGTGCAGAGGCAAAAGTAAAGGGGACTTTGACCTAGTGCAGTCATAGTGGTGGTGGTCACAGGGGTGCTTGTGTCACTCCACTCTCAGTATTAGGTGGCTCAGAACAGAGAGAGAGAAAGAGAAACTCTGTATGTTTGGAAGAAAGGGAAGGGAACAAGTGTCTCTGCCTGGTTGAGAATTCTCCTGGATGTTGTCTAAGATCATCAAGGTGGTACCTCTACAAGTCTTCAAGAACCACAGTGTTACTGGACTTAGGGTAACGCCTAAGGCAGATACAGCTTAGATTATGACACTTAAGTCCTTTCAAATCTCTGAAAAGCCTTCCCAAGAAGGACAGCTACAAATAAGCCCAGACAGTGAAGACCTAACCCTTCATTGTCCAGACACAGAAGAATATCTACTAGTATCAACACCATCCAGGAAAACATGACCTCACCAAATAAACTAAATAAGGCACCAGGGACCAATCCTGGAGAAACACATATGTGACCTTTCAGAAGAGGATTCAAAATAGCTGTTTTGAAGAAACTCAACATAACACAGAGGAGGAATTCAGAACACTACCTGATAAATTCAATGAAGAGATTCTTGAAGAATGCATCAGAGTCCTTTAACAGCAGAATTGATCAAGCAAAAGAAAGAATAAGCAAGCTTGAAGACAGGCTAATTGAAAATACACAGAAGAGACAAAAGAAAAAAGAATAAAAAACAAGGAAGCATGCCTACAGGATCTGGAAAATACCCTCAAAAGGGCAAATCTAAGAGCTACTGGCCTTAAAGAGAAGGTAGAGAAGGAGACAGAGATAGAAAGTTTATTCAAAGGGATAATACAAAAAACTTCCCAAACCTAGAAGATATCAAAATTCAAGTATAAGAAAGTTATAGAACGCCAAATAGATTTAACCCAAAGACGACTACCTGAAGGCATTTAATAATCAAACTCCCAAAGGTCAAGAATAAAGAAAGGATCCTAAAAGCAGCAAGAGAAAAGAAACAAATAACATACAATGGAGCTCCAATAGGTCTGGTAGCAGATATTTCAGTGGAAAGCTTACAGGCCAGGACAGACTGGCATGATATATTTCCAACTGCTGAAGAAAAAAACCTTTTACCCTAGAATAGTATATCTGGCAAAAATATCATTCAAACATGAAGGAGAAATAAAGACTTTCCCAGACAAATAAAAGCTGAGGGGTTTGATCAATACCAGACCTCTGCTACAAGAAATGCTAAAGGCAGCACTTCAATCAGAAAGAAAAGAACATTAACGAGCAATATATAATCACCCAAAGATACAAAATTCACTGGTAATAATAAGTACACAGAACAACACAGAATATTATAACACTGTAACTGTGGCGTGTAAACTACTCTTATCCTAAGTAGAAAGACTAAATGATGAACCAATCAAAAATAATAACTATGATGACTTTTCAAGACATAATCAATACAATAAGATATAAACAGAAACAAGAAAAAGTTAAAAAGTGGGAAGGATGATGTTAAGGCATACAGTTTCTATTAGTTTTTTGTTTGTTTATATAAAGAGTGTTAACCTGTTATCAGGTGATATGGTTTGACTGTGTCCCCACTCAAATCTCATCTTGAATTCCCATGTGTTGTGGGAGGGACCCTGTGGGAGGTAACTGAATCATGGGGGCATGTATTTCCTGTGCTGTTGTCATGACAGCGAGTAAGTCTCAAGAGATCTGATGGTTTTAAAAAGGGGAGTTCCCTGCACCAGCTCTCTTCTCTTGTCTGCTGCCATGTGAGACACGCCTTTCACCTTCTGCCTTGATTGTAAAGGCCTCCCCAGCCACATGGAACTGTAAGTCCAATAAACTTGTTTCTTTTTTAAATTGCTCAGTCTCAGGTCTTTATCAGCAACATAAAAATGGACTAATACATCAGGTTAAAATAATGTGTTATAAGATAATATTTGCAAGCATCATGGTAACCTCAAGCCAAAAAATATACAATGGATACACAAATAATAAAAAGCAAGAAACTAAATCATATCACCAGAGAAAACTACCTTCACCTGAGGAAGACAGGAAGGAAAGAAAGAAGGAAGGAAGAGAAGACTATAAAACAACCAGAAAACAAGTAACAAAATAACAGAAGTAAAATAAAATACCTAGGGATTAACCAAAGAAATTAAAGATCTCTACAATGAAAACTATAAAACACTGATGAAAGAAATTAAAGCATACACACACAAAAATGGAAAAGTATTCCATGTCAATGGATTGGAAAAATCAATATTGTTAAAAAATGT